TTCTATAAGACGGCGATATTGCGAAGGAACAAAGAGGGTGCGATGGTACAGAGATATTGCTATAAGACGGCGATATTGCGATGGAACAAAGATAGTGCGATGGTACAGAGATATTACTATAAGACGGCGATATTGCGATGGAACAAAGATAGTGCGATGATATTACGATGGAACATGGATATTGCGACGAGACGGTGATAGTGCGAGTATGTTTGTTTGTTGTTTAACGCCGCTCTCGGCAACATTCCAGCTATATGACGGCGATCTGTAAATAATCGAGTCTGGACCACACAATCCAGTGATGAGTATCGATCCACGCAGTTGGGATACGATGCCATGCATCAACCATGTCAGCGAGCCTGACCACCCGATACCGTTAGTCGCCCCTCAGATATTGCGATGAGACAGAGCAATGTTGCATCATGCTATCGCTCTGTTCATAGCAATATTGCAAGAAACCAATGGTCATGTGGTTCTTGTGATGTTTCCATCTTAAAAGAGGACCACCTGATCAATGGAGATTATTATTAAGCATGTGTGTCATACTGATTTTACGAAACGAGTGTCAGAATTCCCAAGCGAGAGCGTTTTATAATACATGAATTTATACACGAGTTTCGTAAATCAGTAAGCTCACTATTAGAAAATGCACTGATCACGAACGCCTTCTTAGAAAACCACAATTGTCGAAGTATGCCAACTATCTTCAGTAATGACGTCGTAACGTCACAATAAGATTCGAATGACGTCAACAATGCCGTCCGGAACACGTAAAATATGTACGCTTCTGCGAGTGAAGTGATACTTGCACCAGTGCACATACGATTATTAATGAACTGGGTTACTTCTAACCCTATGGGTAATAAATAGAGGATATTATACGAGTGTTCATGTCATACATGTTTACGGTATTTCCCGATCGAGAGCACGACTCGAGGGCACGTGATTTTTATGTGTGCCCTCATCCAGTGCCGTAGCCAGTTGTTGTTTTTTTATAGAAAACAGTTTTATTTGAATCAAGTTGAGGACAAGTGGTACTTGTACAAATATTTACAGATAAAAAAGTTTCCTACGGCCTTGTCATCGGTAAATAAATCGTCTTCTGTAACCTCCGCACTGTAACCTCCGCAATAAAAGAAAGGAAGTTTTGGAAACAAGATACTCAGGTTAACTGATTTCCACCTCAGCCGCACCAATTCGGTGTGACTCAACAGCAAGGTAGGGACCGATCGACCGTGCTGTGTGCCATGTACACCAATAATCCATGAAATCTCTATGCCAAGATATGATTGTGTGTGGTATTTTCTTACATTATATCCGACACTTTACCTGCAGGCAGCAGTGCCAAGGACTTTCTGACACTGTCTGTCTGTACCGAGGTGTGGCAGTGCCGAGTACTTTCTGACACTGTCTGTCTGTACCTAGGTGTGGCAGTGCCGAGTACTTTGACACTGTCTGTCTGTACCTATAGGTGTGGCAGTGAGGAGGAGTGTGAGAGCATGTGTTGGCTGTCATCATCAGACAAAGAGGTGTGTGTCAACCTGAACGTGGAAGATTTCTACCCATTCAGCTTCACCTGTTCCTACTGCTGCATCTTGTCCGGCTGCAACACCGGCTGGTACCCGAAGACCTCCAGGCTGTACAGGGGAGTTGACCGGTAGCAGAATACCGACTTTACAGATGAATGAAAATTAAGCTCTATTGCGAGACATTTCTAATGCTAAAAAGGTTACCGTATTTGACGTAATAAGCGCCCAGGTCGCTCTCAAATTAAGAAATAGGGGGCTTTTATTAGCATAATATTTTGGTGAAAAATAAAACAGAGTTGAAAGATCGTAAATTTCGTGGTTTATGTTTACAGCCTGAAATGTTTAATATATACAACATATATATTTTTCCAGAATTTAATTGCCCATAATTAAAGGTGCATATAACACACGAGTGCGTATTATACACGAATAAATAAGTCTTGTGTACATTAATCAATCGGAAGGGGTGCTAATTGAAATTGTTCACTAGCCAATATATTCGCAAATATCGCCGTGGGCGCTTAATAGAGCGGGGCGCTTATTGCGTCGAATACGGTATTTCCTCTGATCTACTTGTGCCTTTGAATCAGTAATCTGCATGACCTTCTATGTGTTACATTTTGTATAATCACCGTGACGATCAGGGTTAGAAATGGACTAACGGGATCAGGTGGTCAGGCTCAGACTCGGTTCATGCATGTCATCATATCACAAATGCGTAGATAGATGCTTATGATGTCAATCCCTGGATTGTCTGGTCCCGGCTTATTCTTTTACAGATCGCCATCAAATAGCTGGAATATTGCTCATTCTACCATGACTACTTGAAATACTCGAATTTGATTTGTCAACCAATAAAATTTGACATAATCAATTTGGATTGAAAAACATGCGTCTGATTTTATGACCGCTTCATTGCGCACATATACAAATAATTTGTCGTCGAATCGACGATGTTGGGATAGAGATTATCACAATGACCCATTAGGAATCCATCACCCAGGTGACTTGCAAGATAAGGGTCAGGCAAAACCCTGAATTTAGGCAATTCATCCTCCCTCGTGCCCAGTTGCATCGTTCAAAAAATACATGTCAAAATTGAACCACCAGAATCCTGCCTTCTACCAGCTTCCCCGCAAACCTGTCGACGATCCATGTTGGTACACTTTAAAACCGCGTGGCCATAATCCCCTGTCCTAATGATGAAAACAATTTCAAAGGAATCCCAAGTTAACACATTAAAACAAATCATTGAGTTAGAGCCACAGCGGTCACTCTCCGCGGGTGTAGAGGCACGTGAAATCATCAACCTCACTGGTCTTTATAATCAACAGTCCTTGATTGTGCTACAACACAGACTCGCCGGCCGATCAGAAATAGTACAATTCTTCGATTCAGCAGGGTTCAGATTCGACAGTCAATCGTTACGTTACAATGTTAAAACAACAACAACCAAAGACACCTACCACCCCTTTCACAGACGAGTTCAATTCGACTCTCGTGCCATGACGGATCACGCACCATCTTACGCTGAACGAAGGAGTTCGATTTTAAATCGGTCATGGTAGAAGGAGATAAACGTACAGTTTCGCTTTTAAATGAAATCTGGGACTATCAATTCGGCCTAGTATTAATCTAATTTTCAAACACAGTACGTTTATCTCCTTAGTATGGCGTTAACAACAAACAAGAACTTGCCATAATATGCATTGATGGAAAGTTTTGTTTGCTTGTTTGTTTGTTTGTTTGTTTAATTGTGTGTTTGTTGTTTAACGCCGCACTCAGCAATGTTAAAGCTATAGGACGGCGGCCTGTAAATAATCGAATCTGGACCAGACGATCCAGTGATTGACATCATGAGCATCGATCCACACAATAGGGATTGATGACATTCATCAACCAATTTAGCGAGCCTGACCACCCAAGGACAAGCATAGTCGCCTTTTATCCACAAGCATGGGTTGCAGGAGACTTATTCTAACCTGGATCTTCATGGGTACATTGATGGAAAGAACAGCCCAGATCTACAAATGGTGATCACTGTACAGGGAACCTGTGTAGTTCAAGCAACTCATTTGTGTGTCACTTGCATCAACAATCACAGACATACAAGAGGAGAATTTGGGTTTAAGTTGTTTATTTGTTTATTTGTTGTTTAACACCGCACTTAGCAATATTCCAGCTATATGACGACGGTCTGTAAATAATCAAGTCTGGACCAGACAACCCAGTGATTGACACCATGAGCATCAATCAATGCAATTCGGACTGATGACATGTATGAACCAAGTCAGCGAGTCTGACCACCCAATCCCGTTAGTCGCCTCTTATGACAAGCATAGTCGACTTTTACAGCAAGTATGGGCTGCTGAAGGCCAATTCTACCCCGGCTCTTCACAGGTTGAGCAACATGTATGCACATGTGTGCATGGCTGCTTGTATTAGTCTGAACTTGTGAAGGTTTTATAGTGCTAGCCCACTGAGATACTATGCCACACTTTTAACACGGAAAACCTACTCAGACACATTATACCCACTCAGAGCCAAAACAGTCTATGCGTTTCACTCAATGCCAAGCACCAAGCAGTGTAACACAAGTTCCATCTTTTAACATCTTTTTGTAAGATGCAGTCAGGGGATTGGACCACAGACTTTGCGCTCTCCTTGGAAGACAGGGGAGGCAGTCAATCACTGAAAAGACCGCCTCCATGGTCTAGAGGTAGAGCATCCGCCCGGAGAGCGGAAGGTCCGGGGTTCTATCCCCAGCTGCGGCATACCAAAAGACGTTAAATGATGGTACTTGTTGTTACCCTGCCTGGCGCTCGGCACGAAGGGGCTAAAACAAGGACTGGTCGGCTCGGAGTTCGTATACTGGGTCTGAATGGGGTATTCATGTTAAACTACGGCATGGTATGTCAGTGGGCTAGCACTATAAATCGGCATCAGTCCAGACTAGTACAAGCAGCCACACACACACACACACGTTCATGCATGTCGCTATATAAACGCAATAATCTTGGACGCGACGTTAAACCCAATTTCACCTCACCGTGCTCACCTCAAATACTTTTCACTGAGTGAGTTTAAGTGAACATCAATGTTTGACTGATAATTACCATGTTCAAATACCTTAAACAGATTGTAAAGATATATCATCATGAAAATAGAGATTTTCTGGGTGGTTGGCATACAGTACTTGCCCACAGAGGAACACTTACCGGTACTCTCTGTCACTTCAACGTCTGTACAGAACAGACAAGGTTCCCTGCACAACTGTTTCGGGAGTGAGAGAACATGTCGGGTGCAACACTGCTTTGACCAGTACAGTACCAGTATTTCAGCTGTATAGCAGTAAGCTAGGAGGGAAGCAAAGCAGTTTCACCCCTTGTAGATGCTTACTACATTGGTGAAAGCTACAAGCAGACAGACAGTGCTGAGAAACCAAGAATCATAATCGGGGCACATCAGTGGTAGACATGGTAGAAACTCATTTTACTCACTAGTCCTAGTAATGACATATGGCAAATCAGGGGTAGAGACTCATTCACATCACTAGTCCTCCAGAAGAATATGACACATCAGGGGTAGAAACTGTTTCACACCACTATCAGTCAAATGATTCACTCACAGACGATTCACTTTTTCCACAGTCCAGTCTTGAAGAATCACATTTCCTTCTTTCTCCTCAGTGTCATGTCTGTTTTTTTCTGTCCCACCTCAATGATTCCAGTCTTCGGTCCCATCAAGATGATTCACACTTTCCTGTCCCACTCAGGTGATTCACATTTTGTTATGTGATCCCATTAGGATTCACATTTTCCTGTCCCACGAAGATGACTCACATTTTCCTGTCCCTCCTAGATGACTCACATTTTCCTGTCCCACGAAGATGACTCACATTTTCCTGTCCCACCTAGATGACTCACATCTTCCTGAACCACCTAGGCGACTCACATTTTCCAGATCCACAAAGATGACTCACATTTTCCTGTCCACCTAGATGACTCACATGTTCCTGAACCAAAAAGATGACTCACATTTTCCTGTCCACCTAGATGACTCACATTTTCCAGAACCACAATGATGACTCACATTTTCCTGTCCACAAAGATGACTCACATTTTCCGGAACCACAAAGATGACTCACATTTCCGTGTCCACCTAGCATGCCTAGATGAGTCACATTTTCCAGAACCACAAAGATGACTCACATTTTCCTGTCCACCTAGCTGACTCACATTTTCCTGAACCACAAAGATGACTCACATTTTCCTGAACCACAAAGATGACTCACATTTCCTGAACCACTAAGACAACTCACATTATCCTGTCCATCTAGATGATTCAAGTTTTCCAAAATCACATTGATGGCTCTTCTTTTTGTAAATCCAACATGTCACTCCTTTATCTTCATGTTTTCCTAAGTTTGTGGATGAACATGATCTCATCTCGATTTCGAATTCCATAACTGAAATTAAATTATCAATGTCTTCATTTGAATCAACATATAACATAATACCCTACAATATATGAAGTGTGGAATGTGTGTTCAATGAATAAGAGAAGAGAAAGTGGTTCATTGTCTGAATCAATCCAATCACACACTGTATCCATCTGATCCTCATTATGTCCAAAGGAGCTGATACAACCTGGATGATAAACTTCTTAAAACCAGTGTCAGTAGCACAGCTGCTAAGATATGTTCACACTGACAACCAAGGACATTTCTACGCCAAATACAGACCCGTGCAGATCCGGGGTAGATCAGGTCTTCAGCAACCCATGCTTGCTGTAAAAGGCGACTATGCTTGACGTAAGAGGCGACAAACGGGATCTGGTGGTCAGGCTCGCTGACATGGTTCATACATGTCATCGAACCCGAATTGCGTGGATCGATGCTCATGATGTCAATCACTGGATTGTCTGGTCCAGACTCGATTATTTACAGACTGCCATCACATAGCTGGAATATTGCTGAGTGCGGCGTTAAACAACAAATAAACAAACACCAAATACAAGATTATCACAAAGGTCACAACATTTATATGTCAAAGGGAGATAACCCACGCCTGTTTGTCAACATTAGCTGGTCCACATGGATTTCAGTGTTGTCACCATTGTGCTGCATTTCTCAATTATATATCACCATGCACACAAGGTTTTGAAGATATTAGAAATCACTTGTACATTTACCGGTACCTTGAGAAAATGTTGCACTTTAAATCCATGCTGTTAATTTTGTAATATGAGAGTATGTGAAAACAGAACCAATAACATACGATTTTAGAGTCCTCCTGTCGTCGCTGAGTTTCTGCCCATCAAAATAAAGCCAGTAACTCCTCCAGATGTACCTCCTGGTGACAGACAACACACGGTGCCTCATGTAACGTAGTCATGGTTCTCACAAAACTCGAAACACCAAATTCAAGGCCTTTTTCAGCCCTCTTAGAGGCAACAGTCCCACATTTCAAAGATAAAAGAAAGAACTCAGTGTGCATTCTGATTCATTTGGACATTCTTACTTTATTTCATTGTCACAATGGCCTTATTTTTATCCAACACAACCAGTACACAATTTCAATATGCAAATTCACACATCAGTGTTTCAATATTAGTTGTTCAGAAGTTATGAACTTGTCTTTTGCGACATGGTGTTGTAATTAATATCAAACAACCAGAGAAAAACATATTGTAATATATTTATGTAACGGCAGTTGACTATGGCTAGCAACTTCAAGGCATTTATTGAACGTTTAAACCTGTTCAACGCAGATTTAATCTTAAGCCCACTGCCTAATTTAAGTCCTTGTCAAGCCTACACAAGCCTTGGTACTTCTCATTCATCTGTTAGCACCACTGCATACATACAGCCCTGCCTGAAAACCATGTGATCCAATTTCATAAGCCAATCCTTATTTTTTCAACATAGGTAATTGTGCATTTAGTTGCTTCCCCTATTGACTAACAACAGCAAAAAGACACAAACTGAGATCTATTAAAAATAGCATTAATGAATATTTGTGACCAACCATGAGATAAGGGACGTTATGGGTGAAAAATCACATTGTGACTTCTCACTATATTTTAAAACTACAGCATATTCGGAACAGAAAAATACAATTCACAAGCTTCAATTCACATTTATTACAGTGAGTGAGTGAGTGAGTTGGGTTTAACGCCGCTTTAAACAGTATTCCAGTTATATCGTGGCGTGTCAGCTTAATGTGGGAGAAAAGCCCGAAGTGATGCAGGTCTCAGACGTTTACCACTTCGGTGAAACCCACGAGCACGGGTATGGTGCTGACAAACCTAGAAACATAATCGGGGCGAACCGGGATTCGAACCCACAACCATAGGTTTCTGGCATGCCCAAGGGACGCAACTCTGCACAGCGAATCGCGGCGCCTTAGACGAATGGGCCACCCGTGCCCCACATTTATTACAGAGATACATGACATCACACATGGCGATCTTCACTGAAGTAAGTTGACATCAAGCGTCTTTAGCACATCAAAGCACAATTGTATCCTAGCACCAATAAGGTCCCGATTCTCCTGGTGGCTCACATTTATTGTCTGCTCTATTTTTAACGGATTACAAAACAAAACAAAAAAGTATCCGACCTGGCCCAAAAGACTTTAGGCCAAATATAATATTACAGTGATCAAATTTCAGATTTCTTTTGTTTACATGCTGTAGATTGGCATATCTTCAAAATAGCTCAAAGTATGTTGCTGTCATGAGCTAAAGCTTTTGGCCAACTTCTTCTTCTCCCTTCTTGAGTTTTGGCTAGACTATGAAGTGTGCAGTGATTGCCATCAGTATTACACAGGGAAGTGTTTTATGAATGAATATACTGTTGATGTGTTCATTGTCACTTGTTTGAAGGCCTCATGAACTGCAAGGGTTATCCAAGTGTTCCAATTCTTCAATGCACAGTATGTACAGATGCATAAATCTGACAGACACATCCAGCTCCTGGTTAGCTGTAGACTGTTTGTCATACTGATGTGTACACTGTTGCCAGCTAACCGTGACAATGGTGAGGTGAGGTGAAATGGGGTTTAAGGTCGCGAGCAAGATCATTGCACTTAAATAGCGACGTGCATGTACCTGTGTGTGTTTGTGTGGCTGCTTGTACTAGTCCGGAATGATGCCGATTTAAAGTGCTAGCTCACTGAGATATCATGCAGCAGTTTAACATGAATCCCCACTCAGACACAGTATACTGACTCCGAGCCGACCAGTCCTTGTTTTAGCCCCATCATGCCGAGCACCAGACAGGATAACAACAAGTACAATCTTTTATCGCTTTGGTATTACGCGGCCGGGGATTGAACCCCGGACCTTCCGCTCTCCGGGCGGACGCTCTACCACTAGACCAAGGAGGCGGTCCCGTAGCGATGGAGTGTTATATCTATGCTAATAGAAGGATGAACCTGCTAGACCCAGGAGAAGTTTAGAAACAAGGGAGGCTACCACACAATGCAATCATTGATAATCTATGAGGATGGGATTCTGGCCAATAAGGTTAAACATTGATAAATTTTCTCAAAGCTTATCAATGATCATAAACATAAAATCGAAAAGCCTTTTAGTGAGCATGGCTGTGCTGTTTGGCTCATTAATTATGGATATTATTTATTTTCATTTTTAGCAACCAGCACACAGCACATTTTTTTCTAAACACTGTTAAAGCTGTACATAATTCCTATATTTCTCTGCCTGAAAAATATCAGAAAAACTAAAGAGCCTCAAAATAATGCTACATGTAATATGTATATGTGTGACCTCCACCAAGTCCTGTGATAACGTACCAGCTGATGAGGGTTGTCCCGCCTCTCCTGGACTGACGCAGAGTGACATGTCTTCTGATAGCATGTTTCAGATCAAGAACACTGGCATCCTGCACAACCACAATCTCTGAAACCACATCACATGCAGGATTACACAGTGTTGCATCTAGCCTATCAAGTAACTAAACACAATGTGCAGCAGTAGCAAGCACTATGATCTGATTTTAAGGATATTGTCTAGTTGCATAAATTAACACTATTTTCATTTTCAGTGTGTAATTTTGTATGCAGGATCAGTATCATTTGATGCAAATTCTTTAAAAAACTTAGTAATAAATATGTTTTAATGACACTTTAAACCTAATTAATAATAATAATATAATAACTACAGATTTATATAGCGCTGGTATCCAGTTTGAAGAACTGCTCAAAAGCGCTTCATTTGAGTCTACACAAAAAGAGACAATACACAGTTAGGAAAACACAAAGCCTCAATACTCCAAGAAAGATTTGGTGAAAAGATAGATTTTGAGTCTTGATCGGAACAAAGTAGGACTGTCAATGTTCCTGATATCCAATGGCAGCCTATTCCATAGCTCAGGGGCAACTTTGGCGAAACTCCGACCTCCAAAAGTCGTCGTTCTAACAATAGGCACAGAGAGTAGGGACTGGCAGCTTGATCTGAGAGATCTCCCAGGCACGTAACTCTTCAAGAAGTTTGATTGTGTCTCGCATTGAAAACAATCAGCATCACTTTATACTGGATTCTCTCTTTGATTTGAGCCAGGGGAGGTTCCGTAGAATCGGTGTGATATGGTCAAACTTTTTGGATTTTGTAACAAGCCTGGCAGCACAGTTTTGAACTCTTTGAAGTTTAGTCAAAAGGTGACGGAAAATAGACTCGAGCACATGTTTCACATGTGCAGTTTCCTTAGGCAGGTGGTGTTTCCTTAGGCAGGTGACTTTGTCCGAAATGTGCATCTGTCCACCAGAGGTTAGACTAACATTTAGTTTATGAAATCTTATATTACACAATACCCTTCTTGACTCTAAAAATAAAATAAAAAAATTTTGCCGATGCTGATTTCATATGTGGAATAGAGCTAGCTAGAGCTGGCTAGACTTGCTTTTGTATATGTTTCTAGATTGTGGTTTTTTTCATAAAATAAATATATTCCACAGTCATGGTGCAGGACTAACCAGAGGTGTTTAGCAGGGGTAACCGGTAGGATGAGTGAATGAGTTAAAATCTAAAGTCACATCGACAGTATTTCAGCCATATCGTGACTTCCCGGTAGGATGAGAAGGTAATGTGACTGTTAACTTTTAAGTGCCTCACAGGCAGGCATCTTCCCGAGGCAAGAGAGTGAACTGACTTTAAAAGTCCAGTTTCCACCCTTGCCGAACTAGGCAGGAATTACTGGGCTCAATCGTAGCGCCACCAGTTGCTATTACCAGTTATGTCCCTTCTATGCCTCTCCTATGGACCAATCAAATTCCACCTCTCGTATCACTTGCGTTTGCTTAATACAAAATGGTGGCGCCCAGTCAGGACGATCTGATCGATAATCAAGATCTATATTGTGATAAAACGGGTCTTACATTGCGAAATGCATCAAATCACGTGAGCACCTTGATTAAAAACATGAAAGGTTTGGAAAATATCTGCTGACAGCGAGTTGGTGGTGCGCATGTTTTGCAAATTCTGCAATCGACCGAAATCTGCATGACAGTTTATGAACCGGATTTCGATTTTGGTGCGCAATTTTGATTTGACTATGCATAGACTCGTTAGTCCAGCCAAAATGTAACTCCATAATACCAGCCTAGTTCAGCAAGGGTGGAAACTGGACTTTCATAGTCAGTTAGCTCTCTTGCCTCGGAAAGATGCAGGCAGCTGGCACTGTATACTCCCCAAGGAGCTGAGAATGAAAATCGAGTGCACACTGATCCATTGACCGGGGTAATAATGTAGCGCTATGAGCACGCTTTAATGTGTGGATTTGGTGAATTATAAATATGCACATAATTATGACATAACCTTGGCATCTCATCAGTCAGATGATGTTTGACTTTGTAATGATAAAGTAAAAAAACATTTTACCCACAATTTAGAAGCTGAAAGGTTACTGAGAAACATGACCCAGACTGTACAAATGCTAGATACAACACATATTTGTGATAGCCAAGTATTTCACATATTTCAGTAACGCATGCTGTCACGTCTTACAAGCAAGCATGAAATACTCATATCCCCTGCCAATATCTTTATTACAATTAGGTGCGATGGTTTCGGTGTAGGTTCTAACACCGTTATCAAGCAAGTGAAGTACAGAGTATGGTTGGCAAGAATATATACAGAATAGGAGGTAGTGTTTATACAGTTGAGTAGGTTTAAGATCAGTTACACTGTTGTATTTGTAATGAGTTGTGTTTCTGCATGAAGTTAGTCAGTGAATGCAACAACCCTGTCCATGACACTTTTGGAGGAACATACACTAAAGCAATGCAGAACTTACCAACAAGAAAGGAAATGTATTCAATACTGCGAGATGACTTTATGTGCCAAGTTTGGTGAAGAAATATGGTACGGTTTTCAAGATCTGCTCCGGAAACGAGGACTACCACCATTTTGAGTTTAAATCAAAGTCGTTGCCATGAAAACTCGAAAAACTTTTTTTTTTAAATCCCAAACTTGTAAAAGGCACCAGTTCACCACTAGACCTATCAATGTGCCAAGTTTGGTGAAGAAATGTGGTACGGTTTTCAAGATCTGCTCCGGAAACGAGGACTACCGCGATTTTCAGTCTAAGTCAAAGTCGTTGTCATGGAACCTCAAAACCTTTTTTTTTTAAATCCCAAACTATCAAAAGGCACCAGTTCACCACTAGACCTATCTATGTGCCAAATTTGGTGAAGAAATATGGTACGGTTTTTCAAGATCTGCTCCGGAAACGAAATGTGTCGGACGGACGGCACCCATTCCTATATCCCCATTCCGCTTCGAGGCGGGGGATAATAACAAGGAGTTAAGCTTTTTAAATTATCAAACCAAATTTAAAATGGAAACACATTTGGAAGGATTCAGTGAAAACACTACAATGGTTTAGCAGCAAGATATAGCCAGGATCCAGTTTAGACGTCAATTAGAGTCACATGACTTACTGAGTACTTCCCCATCTGCCCGCATCACGTCCACCACCATGGCCTGGCCGTACTCCACTGCAATGGCCGAGTTCACCTCTTCTAATGTCACCTCACCAGGAAGGTCCTTCAGCAGTGGGTCTGACTGGCAACACATAATGGTCAATGCTGACACATTTTCATACATCGCAGGGAACAAGTTTTCCATATTTACGTACACATTGCGCCACAAGCTCACTTGCAATTTTATTAGGTCAGGTCTTTTTCTTTGATTTGATAGGAGTAACAGATCTGATGTAAATGAGATTGCATTACAGATTGCACTCAGCAATATTCCAGCTATATGATGGCGGTCTGTAAATAATCGAGTCTGGACCAGACAATCCAGTGATTGACATCATGAGCATCAATCCACGCAATTGGGATACGATGACATGCATCAACCAAGTCAGCGAGCCTGACCACCCAATCCTGTTAGTCACCTCTTACGACAAGCATTGTCCCCTTTTACGGCAGGCATGGGTTTCTGAAGACCTATTCTAACCTGGATCTCCACGGGTCTATTCAGTGAGTGATAAAAGATGTTTTAAGTGAAAAACATATTCAGATCACCATAGTTATACTATCTAACCATGAAGTTCCCAGTTAGAATAGGTCTTCAGCAACCCGTGTAAATGTCACATGATTTTCATACATGTTTTGATTGGCTGCGTTCATACAACTTTTCGCATGAAAATAGAGCATGTCCTATTTCGTACAACTCGCGTCCAACAAGTTGCATACGTCAAAAGTTGGACCGACTTGCCCGTTCACACGATGCAATGTGTTGCACGCAACAAATTGTATACGACTAGTTGTACCGTGTGAATGCCCCTTAAGAGGCGTCTAACATGACTGACTTGTTTGATTCATGTCACTTTATCACAACATCGTCGATTGATGCTCATGATGGCAATCACTGGAATGTCTGGTCCAGACTTGATTATTTACAGACAACTGTCATATAGCAGGAATAGTGATGGTATTATGCAGGTAACGGAATAAGCCGAGTGTCCCTGTATTGGGAGGCCAGCTCCATGTTCAACTAGCGTGTTGCCGTAAACAACAAACTATAGATAATCTGTCATGGCATGACTGATTAACCATAGTTATATGAAAGGAGCGGGTCTTCTTTAACTTCTTTTGAGTAGTTTATCATGGTGGTCGATAAATAATCGAGTCTAAACAAGGCATTCCAGTGACTGAGGTATGATGGATGACACCCACTGTAACCATGGAAACTCAGTGTAACCACTCAATCGCCAATCGCCTCGCATGACAACCTATTGGTTCTAGGAACAACAGTAATCTCAAGGTGGTTACCATCTTTGTGAAATGTAATGACAGGGTATGAAACTCCAAAAATTTTCAGCCAGACCACAGGACTGGCTAGCTGAAATACTTGCCAGCCCTGACCAAAACCTGTCTGCCCACTATAATCATATGTTTCTCAGGATAATTTAATTAAAACTTTAAATCGAATTCATTGAACATGAAGTAATGCAAAAAAAAATAGCAAACACTTTTTAGGTCGGATTTGTACTTAATATCCTAGAATACATCATGTAAATAATGCTTATCATCGGGATAAATTTAAAAAAATTTTACATATGAATTATAACCCGACTGTCGGGCAGGGGGATTTGAAAATCTGGCAGCCCGAGTAGAAATCAACCCGTCTCGGGCGGTCGGGCAGGCAGGTATTTCGAACACTGGTAATGAAACAGTCACACATACAATTTGTTGTATCTGAAATTAAACTATATAAGTTAAGCTCACTTCAATGAGTTCAGCTATGGTGCTGTTCACTCTGGCCATGGCCTCTTGATGGGGAAGGCCATCATCAACCCCCGTCTCCTCTATCTCCCCCTCCTCCCCCTCGGTGTCCACACACGGCTGACCTCTGTCCTCCGGAATGTCCAGTGGCTCAGTCTTCACCTGTACAGTCGTCTCCATCTTGAACAAGGAAACATGGGAAAAAAACTTGAAGCTTGTTTGGGAAGATGGCCATGCTTGTATTGCCAGTGCCACTTTGTTGAGAGTGAAAGTTTACACCACAGTCAGCAATATTTCAACTATAATATGGCACCATGTAATATCCAAACCATAGAGTATGATACCACACAACACTGTGGCAACATTATACTCATAATAGTCAGCTCACACAACATAACGCTGGGTATGTGGCCAAAAGAGGTCACATGATACTGCACATCTGGGGTAATTAAAAATTCTATTGTATTTTACTATTTTTGTACAACTACGAAATTATGTAATGTAAAAAATATAGATTCAACTCCTAGATATAATTCCTTAACACCATACTCAGCAGTACTCTAGATATATCTCACGTTTTCGAGCCTCACCTTTTGTCAATCCTCTTAACAAAATGAGACCATGCGCTTAATGACGCTTCAAAGCCCACTATCATGACTATGACATCAAAGTGTTTGCCACTTGTCAACAAAGTTATGTTGCAGATTAAGCTACACAAGGAGTGAGTGAGTGAGTATGGTTTTACGCCGCTTTTAGCAATATTCCAGCAATATCACGGCGGGGGACACCAGAAATGGGCTTCACCCATTGTACCCATGTCGGGAATCGAACCCGGGTCTTCGGCGTGACGAGCGAACGCTTTAACCACTAGGCTACCCGACCGCCCCAGCTACACAAGGAAAGATATTCAATAAGTAACAAAAACATACCTCAAAACCTACTTTTTTACTGATACACATTTTAATCAAACTTGATCTGATGATAATTTTGCATCAGAACATGCACCGATTATATATCAACTAATGCTTATAAACTTCCTGTCTGTTATGTCAAGTGACTGACCATGTTGTGCATCTATTTTTAACTTGACTGTTAGTGTTATGGAGGGGTTCTAAATTATGGACAGTAACAAGATGGCACCTGATCGACTTGTCTCACTCAGTGGGTCATTATCGCTATAAAATTAACACGACATGGTCATTTGACCATCCAAGTATTAACAGAAATAAATGTTCTCAAAGGTAACGTAACGTAGACACGTAATGAGAAATAATTCCTAGGGGCTCGGAAACCCATAACACGACGATATGAACAGTCTGCCAATAATCTGAACCTGACAAACCAGTGGTTGACATTGTGAGCAAGATGACAGGCAATCAACCAAGTCACGGAACCTGACCCTCATATTCATTTGGTCACCTCCCACGATCATCATAAGCTGCTGGGGGCCTTTCAGCCTTGATTCCCCACAGGGATTTCTTTTAAATTATTTATTAGTTATGGATATAATGTAAAAATATTTATCAGATAAACATGTATCTACTAAATTAGAGGAATCTGAATTGTTGGACTATAATGTGACTATAAGGTCAATTTCATATCTGAAACTTCTCGGTAAAACAACAACAGTAGCACGAAAATAGGTGATAAAATGAGGAATGTACATCTTTTATGGTTCAGACAAGTATGAAATACCTGACATTTACTCATCAGATCATACCAGCCTGTTTACCTGTAAAAAAGGTTGTGCACTATTATGTTGCCTCGACGCGTTAGGTAGTGTCAAGATTTTGTTCGTTAAACACATTCAGGGACGATGGGCGCAGCCATTTTGGATCATGTGACTTTACAAAACACAAACCTAGCTTAAATCGAACGAAATCTTTTTACTTAAATGAAAAAAAACAACTAAAAATAATTATCATATCAGCTTTATTTCTTACATACGAATTTGAAGAATGGTATGTTAAAACAGCACATATATTTGTTCTGCGCAAATCTCATTTCGTTTTTTTCCGCATCTTGAATGATATGATGCTTGAAACGGACATAAAATAACGACATATGGTCGCTGTTCAGGGTTGTCAAAGGATATGTGCGTGAGATGAAAGTTCCATCCTCGTTTGACAAAGAGGCAGATGATATCTGTTCCAGGATGTCGTTTTAACACTCACAACATAAATTTAAATTTATACACCCAATGACAGGAGACACACGGGGAATGCAAACCACAACCGGTAACATACGACCCTACTATGGAACATGTTAGACCGACTGCAATCATGAGGCAGGGTGAAAAAACAAAACATGAATCTTGGTAAAAAAAAGCGACACCCTACGAAACTTGAAACTACGAGCGAGAAATTGTCTTATTTCGTTCATTATAATTATATGCTCGGAAACATCTGCGATCATATAATAATTCTGACTATATATGAGGCTGCCACTTGTTGGTACGCGGGATCCCAGCTATATGACGGCGGTCTGTAAATCATCGAGTCTGAACCAGACAACCCAGTGATTTATATCATGAGCATCGTTCCACGCAATGGGGATCGATGACATGCATCAACCAAGTCAGCGAATCTGACCACCCGATCCCATTAGTTGCCTTTACAACAAGCGTAGTCGCCTTTTACGGCAAGTATAGTTTGCTGAATAACACATTTCACAAGAACACAAAAATGAGTCAGAATTTAATTAGTGAAAATAAATTAATAATGTTTAGAAAGCCTAAGAGGACCTTCCTTAAAACTAAACAATAGCATTCTTTAAATCTTCCAAGAAATTGAAGGGGGCACGGGTGGTCCAGTCCTCTAAGGCGCCGCGATTCGCTGTGCAGAGTTGCGTCCCTTGGGCACGCCAGAAACCTATGGTTGTGGGTTCGAATCCCGGTTCGCCCCAATTATGTTTGTCAGCACCATACCCGTGCTCGTGGGTTTCACCGAAGTGGTAAACGTCTGAGACCTGCATCACCTCGGGCTTTCCTCCCACATCAAGCTGACACGCCGTGATGTAACTGGAATACTGTTAAAAGCGGCGTTAAACCAAACTCACTCACTCCAAGAAAAAGAGGAGTTAGGTGCTTGTAAAACAATCACATTGTGAGTGAGTGAGTATTGTTTTACGCCGCTTTTAGCAATATTCCAGCAATATCACGGCGGGGGACACCAGAAATGGGCTTCACACAATGTACCCATGTCGGGAATCGAACCCGGGTCTTCGGCGTGACGAGCGAACGCTTTAACCACTAGGCTACCCGACCGCCCCTCAATCACATTGTGATAAATTAGGAACATGCATGGTGACAGCCTTTGAATATATATTCCAGAGCCATTGACGTATGGTTAACGTGGACGTTGAAATGTATCACAAGCTCCATTACCCAGAGTGTTATACCAGAACACACATCAACAACACGGTGTCCATATAAGTTTCATAAAAACTCACCCTCTTCCCATTGGAGGAGTTTTTGCACTAATTACATTATAATTCTTCATTTCAGCAAGTTGTATTCCCACAGATGATTATTTGCTGTTTGCGAAGTTTACCGGAACTGGATATGTGACTCGGTCTTAAACGTTGACATATATTTTCATCAAACATTTCTAAATAGCTATATCAAATGTTTGTAAATGAATGTGCTTAAATGCATAAAACGGTATCTAATCGTGCTGAAATTATGTCACTATATTTTTTCTTAATATCCTGGCCAGTATATATTAAAGTTTTCAGGCCTCATCATTTAATTGCGAACTCATTCATGTACACAGTGAGTATTCAAAGAACAACAGACCCCAACTCATGCACTCATCCAAGTACCCAGTAAAAATTACCGAATACGACATACCCGACACCTGCTATTTCATGTTCTCATTCAAGTACCTAGTAAGAATTACCGGACAGACATACCCCAACACCTGCTAACTCATGTTCTCATTCAAGTACCCAGTAAGAATTACCGAAGACCACCGACCCCAACACCTGCTATTTCATGTTCTCATTCTTGAAAGTACCCAGTAAGAATTACCGAATACGACATACCCGACACCTGCTATCTCATGTTCTCATTCAAGTATCCAGTAAGAATTACCGAATACGACATACCCGACACCTGCTATCTCATGTTCTTATTCAAGTACCCAGTAAGAATTACCGGATACGACATACTCGACACCTGCTATCTCATGTTCTCATTCAAGTACCCAGTAAGAATTACGGAATACGACCGACTCCAACACGTGCTATCTCATGTTCTCATTCAAGTACCCAATAAGAATTACCGGACAGACATACCCCAACACCTGCTAACTCATGTTCTCATTCAAGTACCCAGTAAGAATTACCGAATACGACCGACCCCAACACCTGCTATTTCATGTTTTCATTCAAGTACCCAGTAAGAATTACCGGACAGACATACCCCAACACCTGCTAACTCATGTTCTCATTCAAGTACCCAGTAAGAATTACCGAATACGACCGACCCCAACACCTGCTATTTCATGTTCTCATTCAAGTACCCAGTAAGAATTACCGAATACGACATACCCGACACCTGCTATCTCATGTTCTCATTCAAGTATCCAGTAAGAATTACCGAATACGACATACCCGACACCTGCTATCTCATGTTCTTATTCAAGTACCCAGTAAGAATTACCGGATACGACATACCCGACACCTGCTATCTCATGTTCTCATTCAAGTACCCAGTAAGAATTACGGAATACGACCGACTCCAACACGTGCTATCTCATGTTCTCATTCAAGTACCCAGTAAGAATTACCGGACAGACATACCCCAACACCTGCTAAGTCATGTTCTCATTCAAGTACCCAGTAAGAATTACCGAATACGACCGACCCCAACACCTGCTATTTCATGTTCTCATTCAAGTACCCAGTAAGAATTACCGGACGGACATACCCCAACACCTGCTAACTCATGTTCTCATTCAAGTACCCAGTAAGAATTACCGGACGGACATACCCCAACACCTGCTAACTCATGTTCTCATTCAAGTACCCAGTAAGAATTACCGAATACGACCGACCCCACAATGCATTTCTCTCCTCTAAACTTAAAACAAATAATTTTCCTGATGCTGATTCGTGGATAGAGCTGGCTAGACCTGCTTATATATCTAGATTGGTTTAGATTGGTTAGACTCACATTTAGTCTATGAAATCTTTTATAACACAATAACCTTATTGACTCTAAAAAAAAATTTTTTTTAATTTGCAGATGCTGATTTCATATGTGGAATAGAGCTGGCTGGAGCTGGTTAGACTTGCTTTGGTATACGTTTCTAGATTGGTTTTGTTTTCATAAAATAAATATATTCCATAGTCATGGTGCAGGACTAATGTTATTGTTGTGTGTGTTTATACTGCTATGGGTAGCAAAAGAGTCTGACCATTTCTTTTCATGGTAGTATGAAGGCTCCTGGCCTGCCAGCAGTCTCGCCTATCTGCGTAATTGCCAATTAAATCCTGACCCCAGCTAGCAGAAGTTGGCTGCAGCAGGTGGCATTAGTTGTCTCCCTTTATCATCTTCGGTGGACAGTGGCGCACAATTGGCACATTCTTGGCACGCGCTGACCTGCCGGGGTCTCTGGGACGATGACCTGTGTCCCGTCTGTATGATATATACGTTACAATCGCTGTTTAGTATCGATATGGGGCCCCAAAATATACCCTGGTACACCCAGTGCGAGCCGTCAGACGCAGGAGGACACTTTCCCCGATCAGTGAGGGGACACGCCCAGCCAGAAGGGGCATGGGTTTACATCAACAATTTGTGCACTAGGTAACTGGAAGCCTGGTTGTATTGTCCCCGCTTATATATCACATGATATTCTCCAACATATGACAGCTTGATACATCGAGGAGATACAAAAGAACGTGGAATGTTTGGGGGCATGGCCCGTTCAGCCTCATTTACAGCGTTTTGCGATTTTAAAGGAGCCAATGCATACTTCTGATTTTGAAGTCATCTTGTGTTTTATCGGCCTTGTTGGTTTGTGTATTAAATATATCCGTTCAGAACTAAGAAGCATGTCAGATCGTCTGTCTGTGTGACGTGTGTGGAGTGATATGCATGTCTGTCTGTGTGACGTGTGTGGAGTGATCTGCATGTGTGACGTGTGTGGAGTGATCTGTCTGTGTGACGTGTGTGGAGTGATCTGTCTGTGTGACGTATGTGGAGTGATCTGCATGTCTGTCTGTGTGACGTGTGTGGAGTGATCTGCATGTCTGTCTGTGTGACGTGTGTGGAGTGATCTGCATGTCTGTCTGTGTGACGTGTGTGGAGTGATCTGCATGTGTGACGTGTGTGGAGTGATCTGTCTGTGTGACGTGTGTGGAGTGATCTGCATGTCTGTCTGTGTGACGTGTGTGGAGTGATCTGCATGTCTGTGTGACGTGTGGAGTGATCTGCATGTCTGTCTGTGTGGCGTGTGTAGAGCGATCTGTCTGTGTGACGTGTCTGGAGTGATCTGCATGTCTGTCTGTGTGACGTGTGTAGAGCGATCTGCATGTCTGTCTGTGTGGCGTGATCTGCATGTCTGTCTGAGTGACGTGTGTGGCGCGATCTGCATGTCTGTCTGTGTGACGTGTGTGGCGTGGTCTGCATGTCTGTCTGTGTGACGTGTCTGGAGTGATCTGCATGTCTGTCTGTGTGACGTGTGTAGAGCGATCTGCATGTCTGTCTGTGTGGCGTGGTCTGCATGTCTGTCTGTGTGACGTGTGTGGCGCGATCTGCATGTCTGTCTGTGTGACGTGTGTGGCGTGGTCTGCATGTCTGTCTGTGTGACGTGTGTGGCGCGATCTGCATGTCTGTCTGTGTGA